ATAGAAGTGAAGTCAAGGGGGCAGAGATGTTAAGAAAAGGAAGGGGAGGGGTCTGAGGGAAGCGAATGGCTGAAAGTGGAAAGCTCTGTTCTGTTAAGAGTTTGAATTAAATGTTTCACAGTGAGGCGAAACTCAGGCATTTATGACTGTGCTGGAGATCAAAGACACAGATATTGCAACGACGGCAAAAATCTCTCTCGTGACATCTATTTCCACAGTATCGGCACGTGGTGATAGCGGTAGGGACATGAACTGATGAGTTACTCCCTTCGAGTATCCCCGTGTGATTCTTCCTTCACAGCATCTGCTCTGGCTGATAGATTCTCTTCTGAGACTCTCAGTCTATTTTGCATGCAACAAACCCCTCCTCCCTGGCTATCAGTAGGAGTTGAAACTAAGGCCTGTAACTCCAAAGTACAACTGTCCACCATGTGAGCTAAACAACTCAGTGCTCATTCAGCAAAGCCCTTAAGCATGTGCTTAAGTCCCAGTAAAGTTGACCAGTCTTGACCACGTGTTTAAAGTTAAGCACATACTTAAGTGCTTTTCTTAATCAAGGCCTTAGCTGGGAGCAGTAGCAGGTGGCTTCCACTGTGGGTCAGCTACAGAGTAGTACACGGACACACTTAGCCAGCTTTACACATGGATTAGCCCTTCTCCATCAAGCTGCTCACTCGTGCACCCTACTCTAGACAGCCACAAGCACAACATTTGTTCCTCCCTCCCGGTAGGGGATTTCAAACTCCATGCCAACTTTTAATTTCATTCCCAAACGTATTTCACCCCAGGCAGTGATGCACCTTAGCCAGCAGCAGATGGCAAACTGAGCAAATGGCAGAGCTGTGATGAAAGGAGATCTATTTCTATGGAAAGCTTTCAATTTATTTTTCTTTCCTGTGCAAAATTAAAGGAAATGATGTGGACCTTACTGATGAGAAGACATAGGCTGCACGATATCTGTCCTCTTCCCTTTTGAACTATTTCTATTTTATGTTACAGTAACTCCTACTGATATTAATCCCTATTGTATCAGGCACGGTATATACCAACAATAATAGGCAGTACCTACTGCAAAGAGCGCATGGCCTAACTAGACAAAGGGTGGGATGGGCAACAGGCACAGAGAAGTGGAGTGATTTGCCGAACATCAGACAATGAGTCAGTGGTGGTGCTGGGAATAAACCAAGGTCTCCTGCCTCTCCATCCAGTCCCCTATCTAGTGATCAGACTGCCTCTGATGTACAAGATAATTGATATTGCTTGATAATCTTGGCCCTCTCTAAGCCAGTACAGTGTAAGATAAAGCCTTCACCCTTGGTCCTGCAAGGTATCTTTGGCACTGGCCATGTAGAGTATCTAAATGACTCTCTGAGATATATTTTTCCATCACTTTAAAAGGTATCCTGCTGTTGTTGTAAAAAAAAACTATCCGATTGTTTTGTGTCTTTGCCTTTGAGCTGGAGCAAACCAGCATCTTAAGGAATCCATTGGTATTTTACTAATTGAACTCCAGAGGCACAATAGGTGGTAACATATTAAATATGACTCTCTGAGCTCAGCTTTGTTTTCTTCCTCCAAGTTCTGCTAAGAGGACAAATTCAGTAGATGGCCACCAAAGGACTGAATGAGACGGCAGGGTGGCCACTGGGAACTGATGTGAGACTGAATTTTTTTTTCTGTTTATCTGAAAAATGCTGTCTCCACCGAACAGTCATTATGTCCAGTAAATCCTCAGGAAGCCAGGATTTTGTGCAGCATGGAAAACCGTTGTGATGAAAGGGACTTGAAACTGAAATAGCCCTTTGCGAAGGGCCAGATTGAGCTAATTATAGTCTCCCCAATGGAGCCCAAGCAGAGTGTTAACAAAGACCCTGCATTTGCCCAGTGCTATTAAACTTTGCAAAAAGAAGGAAAAACCTGCGAGAAAACAGAGGTGTGCACTGGAGAAATCAGTTGGCTGCCAGAGCCTAATACACAGAGCAGAATGAGGGGGGAAAATATTTTAAAATGCAAACAAGGCCCATTGACGCTTCACCAGCACTTCAGAGAGAGAATTTTTAAATTAAATGATTTTCACATTTAATTCAGGGAGAAATTAGTCACCAGGTATTAAGATAAAGCAAGGCTCTCGCCTGTATTAGGATTCCATCCTATTCAAGCTGTCTTATCTCTGGAATAATTAGAATGCTCGCTGAAGTAGAAAATGTGCTATCTGATTCATTAGCCAGATTTCCCTTTGTACGGTAATTGCTCCCCAACTCATGTTTGGCTTATTGGAAATAGAGAAACAGGGCCAAGGGGATCTCAGGCCTTCATGGGTAAAGAGGGAGGGGCCAGGGGATTATGGGGATGGAGTGAGCATATTTAACCACTCAGTGTGTGCATTGCAGTTTAGTACAAGGTTCCCAGTCAGTGAATTTGGTGGGGTGTGTCCGGGAGGGTGGAGCCCAGTTCATCACAGTTATCAAGTCTCTGCTGCGAGTTTGTGTGTGTGTGTGTGTGTGTGTGAGAGAGAGAGAGATTCTCCATACTACAGAAAAAAGTGAAAGCAGCTAAAATCGACCTCTGCCTATGACTGAAGTTTGCAAAATAAATAAAAAAGGAAGAAAAAAAGTTCAAGGTGTATTTTGACCCGAGCACCTGTGACACACACTGGCTAATGCGGGAACTGGATGGAATAATGATGGACAAGAAAGAAGGCAGATGGAGGTATAGAGAAGGAAACGGGGAATCAGAGGGCACTCTTAATATTTTTTCCCCACAGAAGAAATGAAAGAATCATAGAAATGTAGGACTGGAATGGACTTTGTTAGGTCATCTAGTCCACTCCCCTGCAGTGAGGCAGGACTAAGTATTATCTAGATCATCCCTGACAGGTGTTTGTCTACCCTATTCTTAAAAACCAGCAATGACGGAGATTCCACAACCTCCCTAGGTAATTTGTTCCAGTGCTTAACCACCCTGACAGTTAGGAAGTTTTTCCTAATGTCTAACCTCAATCTCCCTTACTGCAATTTAAGCCCATTGCTTCTTGTCCTGTCCTCAGTGGTTAAGGAAAACAATTTATCACCCTCCTCTTTGTAACAACTTTTACGTACTTGAACACTGTTACCATGTCCTGTCTCCGTCTTTTCTTCTCCAGACTAAACAAACCCATTTTTTTCAATCTTTCCTGATAGGTCATGTTTTCTAGACCTTTAATCATTTTTGTTGCTCTCTCCTGGACTTTCTCCAGTTTGTCCACTTCTTTTGCCAAGTGTGGTGCCCAGAACTGGACACAACACTCCAGTTGAGGCCTAATCAGTGCTGAGGAGAGTGGAAGAATTACTTCTTGTGTCTTGCTTACAACATTCCTGTTATTACATCCACAGTGATGTTTGCTGCTTTTTTTTTTCCCAGTAGTGTTACACCGCTGACTCATATTTACTGTGTGACCCACTATAACTCCCAGATCCCTTTCTTCAGTATTCTTTCTCCTTCTGGCTCCGCAGCGGCTGCCTCTGCCTGATCTCTGCACCTTTCGGGCTCCGTGCCCATGGCCAAACAGTGAGGGGATGGGGACTTGGACTGCACCACTGTGCGTCTGTAGCTAGAAGTGGATTTCATCAGAAGGACTGTTATCAGAAGGACACTCCCCAAGCTGGCAGGTTTTTGCACAAAGTTAAGATGGAAAGTGCAGAAAAAGTTTGTTTTTTGGAGGCAAGACAGAAAATGCAACAGAGGGCCCCCTTTTCCCATCACGAGGTCATTAAAATGCTGATTGGGTGCACAGTCCCACACCTCCACGTTTGTTTGTGTGGCAAGGCTCCCAGTCTCATGGTCTGTTTTACCTAAGAACTTTAAAGCACCTTGACAAAATCAGCTATCGCTAGTTCGCTGTCCCAGCAGAGAGATCAAGGACCGAATGGGCTCTGGAGACCCATCTCCTCGCTCAGGCCCAGGAGGAAGTTTCCTCCAGGTCAAGATGGGTATATCTACACTGTAATCAGGACAGCACAGTTAGGTGTGTGCCCGAGCTAGCATTGATTGAGCTAGCTCGCTAAAAATTGCAGAGTAGCTGCAGCGGCACAGACTAACCTCTTGAGTAGGCACCCAAGTTCCGGGATGGGATTTTACTCGGACAACTAGCCCATGCTGCCATCCTGGCTGCTACGTCTACACCATTTTTTATAATGAGCTGCCTTGATCAAAGCTACCTTGGGTATGCCGACATGTGCTGCAATTGCACCTCCCAATTTCAGTGTAGACATACCCGGGCAGGCATAGAGAGGATGATGGTGTGAGGAGGAAGCTTGCCCAGCTACTGACCTCTGTCTCCAGGGCCATCATACCAGCGCTGCTCACAAAATTACATTCACTTCTTTCTTTCTCTCTCTCTCTCTCTCACATGGGATTCTGCTAGCAGATAAAGTGATGATGTCACTATGCCCTGTCCTGTGAGGTGACTTCACAGCATCATCACGTCCTGATTTTACATATTGATGTCCCACTTTGGGGGGGCAGTCGGTCATTTGTCCTGCAGAAAAGTTGACTTACAAAGGATGAAGCTGTTAAACAGCTCATCACTGGAGGCTTTTCAGTGTGTTTAATTAAAAGTTTCCCAGGTCTGGGCTGAAAATTCTTCCTCCTGGACTTCAGAAGCAGGACTGTGGCTCAGCAATAGACTCTGGAAATCTCTTGAGATGCTGGCTCCTTGTAAGGGGTCTCACGTGGTTGTGGGAACCAGCACCCTTTGTGATAGTTCTTGGTTTGGAGTGCCATTTGGTGCTTGGTCAGGATTTTCATGGCATCAGTGTTCAACGTGGCCTAACCTTTCTGCTCTGATGTTGCTAAATTCCAATAAGTCAAAATGGACCTGACCCCTTTTCTACATTGGATGTAGAATTTGCCCTTGAATCATGGGTTTGTGCCACATAAGAGAAGAGAGGCATCTCATGCCTCTAGGGAAGCACATGGGAAGAACCTTCATGAAACCATGTCTTCTTTCTCCTCTGTTGCAGTGATACCTAAAGTAACAAAGCACTTGCTGGCCAATCCTGTCTTCACCTGCATCGTACTTGCTGCCTGTATGGAGATTGCTGTGGTCGCTGGCTTTGCAGCCTTCCTGGGGAAGTACCTGGAACAGCAGTTCAACCTCACCACCTCATCAGCCAATCAGCTCTTGGGTAAGTAACTCCATTAACCGGCCACCCAGTCCCTCTGCTGTCTCTAATAGGATGGCTTTCCACATGAAGATCTTTCACCTGAGGATCTCAGAGCTCTTGGTGAAATGAGTGGGTATACAGAAAGAGAGAGAGTGTTAGAATCCCCATTTTACAGAGTAGAAAACGGGTCCTGGAGAGGTTGTGTGTGTGTGTGTAATATATATATTTAATCCTCTCATTTTGGATGCCTTGGCTTTTAGGGACCCAAATTTAGACAACCAGGGCCTATTTTCAGATGTTCTGAGCTCTCACAACTGCAGTTGAACTCACTGATTATGTGGGGATGCTCAGCACTTCTGAAAATCAAGCCCGAGCTGTCTAAACTCTGGCACACCAAAAATGATTTGCCCCAAATTAGAAAATGTGGCCCTCTGTGAATTGACCAAGATCACATTCAGTGGGCTGAAGATGATAATTCTGGGACAATTGGGCCTAGCTACAAAGCTAATGGTGCCACTGTTCATGACAGTTTCTCAGTTGAAGACTTAAAAAGGGAGGTGGATTGACAAAGTAGGCCTGATCAGGATTCTTGTAACATTTCTAGCAAAATTTCCTCATGAAATATTACAGGCCTGAAAAGTAAATCCCAGGAATTGGATTTTAGGAATTATTTGTCTCAATTTAATTTAGTTTTCCTCCAGGAAACTTGGTTTACGAAGGAGGAGTCCTTTTGTTTATTGGGCTTTGAATCCTTCTGAGAAGGGACGTTAAGCATGGTTAGACTGGCATGTGGGCTGGCCCTTTTCATTTCTACCAAATTAAGAGTCATAACTAGCATGTTAATGCCTTCAGTAACCCTTATTTCCAGGACTATAGTATTAGTTTCTCAGCTAAATCTATTTTGTCAGCTCTGAATGTTTATTTGCCTCCTTTGGGCTCTCTTTTGTATAATGAATCTTTATGGACAGAGCTTGATGGACATTGACCAGTTTATGGAAAAGGTTCCAATAGCAAATTTTATACTTTTGGGAGCTTTAAACACCTGATTGGGTGCGGAGGATGAGGAAATTCTAAAGGTTTCCTCTAACTCAGTAAAGGGGTATTGCCTCCATTTCCCCCAGTAAGAAATTCTTCGGGTCATAAACTTTCTGTAATTTTAGATTTGAAGTGGTAGAGGTGGTAATCATCTGCAGGGTCATTTTACAGTCACCTCTTCTAGAGGGAATTGAGCGGCTGATTATATCACAGTTCTGATTTTACGCTGGTCTTGTTTCTCTAACTTTTTAGTGGCTTTTAAACTGGACAGCTGTCACCAACCCCTGCAAGTGAATTTCTGCCCTCCAGCCACTTTTTCCCAGATGCATTCTGGGAGATTGTGCATTACTCCTAATTTTGAAGCTGTAAACTCAAGGCAAATTAAGTTGAATCCATTAGTTAAATCAGAAAGAAACTCTCATCCAGTGATTTGTTAGTTTTAAAGAACCAGCTTTTGCACTTTAGCGATTCAGCACAAGTCCATGTAACATTTATTAAGATCATTGACAAATTACAGGATGACCTAACCACCACCAAGGGTCATGTTTACCTTTAAAAGGTAAAAGCATCTGGTATGATTCAGATTGCTCCAGCCAGAAGAAACAGCTTCAGATCACGGCAAGGGCTGCTAGAAATAATGGTTCCCCAGATTCCAGTAAGAAATTTGTTATCCTTAGAAGCGAATATAAAAAAAAAATGCTGAATAAGAATAGGGTGACCAGATGAGAGGAACAAAATATCAGGACACCGGTGGGCGGGGGTCCGCCAGCGGAGCACAAAAAAAAAAGGCCGAGTGCTGCCAGCGGAGCGAAATATCGGGACAAACACCGAAAAATCGGGATGGTTCCGATTTTATCAGGACATCTGGTCACCCTAAATAAGAAGAAGTTTGAACAATTGAAAAATTGTACAACTGAATGACATAACATCCCCCGCTCACCAATGTCTGTCACGGTAATTTTGTCAAGTGTCCGTTGTGCAATATGGTGGTGCCGACCCCTGGAAGGGCTTGTACAGGTCTCCATTTCCAAACTATGCAGTTATGTCCTGAAAGACGTAATCATCTTTGTCCATGCTGGTCTGGCCAGATTGAAGACTGACCATGCTATTTATATGTCTTCTGACCTGTACTGCCACCTGAGAACTAAATGGCTATCTCCATTCCTGGCTCAGAGGCCTTTTGCCACACCAGCTCAGAAATTAGGATACTTGCTACATAATGAAAATGTTTGTTATACAAGCTGTTGTCCTAGGTGCCTGTTCAGCCACAAAAATAAGAAAAAATTGTGAAAGGGAGGCTATTTAGACCTAAGTGAAATAATGTACTCCTAATATTTTTTCTTATTTTCATACATATTTTAAGGGGTGGTGATGTGAAAAGGTATCAATGATTTTAGGGAAGGGCTAAACCACTGGTTCTCAAACTGGGGCCGCCGCTTGTTCAAGGAAAGCCCCCGGCGGGCCAGGCCGGTTTGTTTACCTGCCGTGTCTGCAGGTTCAGCCGATCGCGACTTCCACTGGCTGCAGGAAGCAGCGGCAGGTAAACAAACCGGCCCGGCCCGCCAGGGGCTTTCCCTGAACAAGCGGCGGACCGGCTTTGAGAACCACTGCTCTAAATCATGCTCCCTACCCCAGGGCTCACAGAAGTTGTTTTATCTAGAATCCGTTGTTTCTGTGAGAAATGATATTCTTCATTCTTGCAGCAAGGGCATAAATAGCCTTTAAAGCTCCTCACCTAAAGCAGAGACGCCGGCCTGCTGCCCACGATGCTATGCGGGAAACCTGGGAACGTCTGACCGAGTGCCGCCCCTGTAACTGCCTGCCTGATGATTCACGCAGTAGAGAGTTGCCCTCTGTTCTCAGTTTAAGATGGAGAGCCCAGTTCCCCAGCTGAGCTCCCATCTCCCCTGCAATTTGGCCTGCGTCAAATTGGAAACACAGGCAACAAAAGAGCCACATGCAGTTGTTCTGCTAGCCCATCTGATGCATCCTGGTCACCTTTCCAACAACATTTTCTTTTGGAGCCATCCTGCTGCTGCCCCTGTACTCTCTGCGCTTCTCCTCTTCCCTCCTTTACATGGAAGGACATTGATACAAACACAGGCTCTGTATTCATTTGCTCCTGACACTTATTCCCCACAAAGTCCCAGTGCTCTCTTTGTGACAAGCGTCCTTTCCCCAGCACCCGGTTAAGGCATCTAGGTGTTGATTCTGCAATCACCACCCTCCAAATGGGCCCCTGGCATGGACCTATCAAACACTGACACCATACAATGAGTCTGGTTGAATATCAACAGGAATAGCACGCAGGCTGCTGTCCTGATTATTATGCAATTTTCTGCAGAACTAATTGAAAACTTCCATTTTTTTTAAATTTAAATGAAATTGCTGCAGAATTTCCCACCTGCCGCAGAATCCAGAGACCTTGTTGCAGAATGGTCTTGGATAGGACCAGCAGCGATGAGGTGAAAGTGAGCAAAAAGAGGCTGAATATTGTGAGAATGTTCCTGAAGCGGGGGGCTGAGTTTTTAGAAGCGACTAGTGATTTTGAGTACCAAACTTGAGACTTCATAAAGAGGCCTGATTCTCAGACAGTACTGAACACCTCTCCTCTGAAGATCAGGCCCCTTGAAAGTGTCTCATGTTGGGCGTCCACAATCACTGGTCACTTTTGGAAATCTTGCACGAGCTCTATTAGACTGTGGATTAGTCTCCCTTGGGAAAATCAGTGGAGACGCCACTGCCTGGACAAAGCACTGTAGAGGACCAGTTCTTTGCTGGCTGGGGCAGGCAGGGAGCGGTGACCTATAGCCTTTAATTCCATCATCCCAGGGAGGAAGTAACTCTGCTACAGGTGAGTGCTAACAGCTTCTGGGACCTGAAGTCTCACATGGTCACTCCTAAGGAGAACCCACATGAATGGATAAGCATCTAGTGGGGACTCTGAGCCTTTAGCGCTTCCCCCGTCACTAGCGCACTGATCTAGTCATTGATCTAATAAAATGCTTCAACACGCCGTGTGTTTTTTCAGCTCCCGCTTTCTCCTTGTGCATCTTCCTGACTCTTTTTCCTTCTTGCAGGGATGACAGCGATCCCATGTGCATGTCTGGGCATATTCCTGGGCGGTCTCCTGGTGAAGAAGCTCAGCCTGTCTGCTCTAGGAGCCATCAGGATGGCCATGCTCGTTAACCTGGTGTCCACAGCGTGCTATGTCTCTTTCCTATTCCTGGGCTGCGACACGGAGCCTGTAGCTGGGGTTACTGTTCCCTATGGAAACAAGTGAGTACAGAGAGGATTTCAACTCCATCTCCCACCTCCAGCCCTATGATACCGCCCAGAAAGTATAGCACAGCGGTGTTAGCTAAACTAACCTGCTCTTATCAGTGCTGTTTCTCTATTTTTCTAGGTTTTTATACCACACCCATCACTGGTATTTGAGTGTCTCTAGGGTTAAGTTGTATGAAGTGTTGATGTAGCTATGTTGGTCCCAGGATGTCGGAGAGACAAAGTGGGTGAGGCACAGGCACCGAATGTCTCATTTCCCTGGGGGTGCCTGACCCCTGCTCCGCCCCAGGCCCCGCCCCCACTCCAGTTCTTCTCCCAAAGTTCCACCCCGTCTCTTCCCACCCCTGCTCTGCCCCACCGCTTCCCACCCCTCTGTTCCCTCCCCGAGTGTGCCCCACCCTCACACCTCCCCCGAACCCCCAGTGCCTCCTGCCCACCACTGAACAGCTGATCGCAGCGGGCGGGAGGCTCTGGGAGGGAGGGGAAGGAGCTGATTGGTGGGGCCCACCAGCAGGCAGGAGGTGCGGGGGTGGGGATGAAAGGGGGAGGAGTTGATCAGTGGGGCCACCGGTGCACCCACAGAGTTGGCGCCTATGGGGTGAGGTAATATCTTTTACTGGACCAACTTCTGTTTATTGATATTACCTCCCCCACCTTGTCTCTCCAGGAGTAAGTAACAGTTTAGAGTAATAGTGTTACAGTAAATGCATTCCCCACACAAGTGGGGAGGACTCCATTGAAGTCAGTGGAGAGGCACCCACTTCCACTATGGCTGTATTGGGCCCATTCTGTAGAAGTGCCTGGAGGGGAATCAGAACAATAACAAGTCTGAGAGCCGAATTCCACTGAGCTTAACTGAAACTGACCCAACGGCTAGAAACACAAGGCCAGATTCTGATCTCATGGAGGCTGGTGTAAACGCAGAGTGAATCCATTGAAATAAGTGGAGCTGCTCTGGCCTGATCTTTGCAAGTGCTAAGCACCCGCCTATCCCACTGAAATCTAGGGAAACTCTGGGTGCTTTTACTGAGGTGGCCTAAATGGGGATTTAGGAGTCAAACTCGAGGCACCCAGTTTTGGAAATTTGGGGCCTGTATGATGAGCAAAAGGCGCTTTCCCACTTGCTACTTGGCTGGAGATGAGACCCATTTTGAGGCAGGGTACTAGGACTCAGGAGGCCCTGCAGAGCTGGGTTCTAACACAGATAGAATGATTCTGTATTCTTCTGAAGTTTCTCAGCATGGGACAGTGGCTCTTTGAGGATGAAAATGTCAGCACGTCTTCAGCTTGCTGTTATTGTGCCAGATAAATACAGCCTCTCCTGTCCTGGAGGTCTGATCCCAGGGCTGCTCAGGGCTGAGACAACGCCCATGGAACTTCACATTAGATTTTTCCAGCACCATCCTGAGCCACCCTGGGGAGATGGTGGGAGCCGGAAATAATAAACCTCAATGTGTTTCTGTCACAGAAGGAGCGTATGGCCTCGGGTTCCTTCTGCCGGCACCCAAACATCCCACCCACCCTTTTCTCCCTTTGCTTGCAGTGATTGGCTAAGCCCCCTTCGTGTGACGCGTCTCAGAAAAGCCAGCTGGCATTATTGCACTGTGCATCCATTTCTGATTCTGCTTCTTTTGCAGCTCAGCTCCGACCTTGCCCTTGGACCCATATTCCCCCTGCAATATCAACTGTGAATGCCAAACCGATTCCTTCACTCCAGTTTGTGGGGCAGATGGGATCACCTACTTGTCCGCCTGCTTCGCGGGCTGCAGGAGCACGGTAATTGTCGTGATTTACTCAACATCTCCTATCTGTGTGTGGTTGAGAGGTTAGTGTGTATACATAGTAAGAGTCATTCATTTACAACTGAGGATGGCTGAAGGCCCCAGAGACTGACTTCTTCGTCTTTGTCTTATTATTATTATTATTATTATTATTATTATTATGTGGATTACCGTAGTACCTTGGAGTCCCAGCAATGGATCAGGCACCCATTGTGCAAGGTGCTGTACAAACACAGAACAAAAAGACAGTCCCTGCCCCCAAGGAGCTTGCAATCTAAGTGTAAGACAAGAGACAACAGATGGATACAGACAGACGGGGAAGCACAAGGAAACAACATCGGTCAATGTTCGGCAGTGGTCTGTGCATACCAACAGCCTGACCGTTGTCAAGTGTTTTTGTAGGTGTCACGTCCAAGGAGAGCTGAGGAGGACTCTGAAGGAGGATCATGAGTTAGTTTTTGCACCTCCCAAGCATAGGGGGCAGCATGGGAGAAAGCACAAAAGTGCTTGTTTTAAAATGTAACAAGTGGGCGATGGAGGCTGGTATCAGGGGCCAGTCAGAGGTGAGCATTGACAGCTCAGTCATGAATGAGACGTGATAGGTAGGGTGAGGGTTGACTGTGAAGGGCCTCGCTGTGTCTTCGCACCTAAGGGTGAGAGAAACTGAGTACCTCATTTTTATGCCCTTTTATCTCTGGCCATGGTCCGATGGGATCGTCTCTAAGTGAGGAGGGAGCTCCCTTCTTCCCTCTACACCATCCATTGGATGCTGTGCTCTTGGGTGCACATGTGAAGCTTGTCTCCTCTTAGCCCAGCCAGAGCTGAGGCTCTGTGGGAAGCCACATCATGGACAGAATCACTCAAAGGGAGACCATAGGCAGAGCTGAAGCTCTTAAGGGACAGTCTGCACTTGCCACCTTTGCCATCTGGCTTCTCGCTTCTCAAATGTGATGGAAATCAGCTGACCCACAGCTTCCTGCTGCAAATGCAAATCGGTCAGACACCGACACAGAGAGAGCACAACTCGAAGGCCGACCAACCAGCCTGTGGCAGAGTCTAGTCCCATCATGGGTACTAGTGGGTTCTGTTACCAGCAGGTTCTATAGACATCTCGTTTCTTCTTTCTGCTCACTCCCATTTCTCCTGCCTTTGTTCTTCCCCTCCCTCCTGCTGTTCCCCTTGTGCTGCCTTCCCCATTTCCTCTTCTCTCTCCTTCCCTCCATTTCTTCTATTTCCTCTCCTCTTTCACCCACTTCCTGTCCTCTTCTCTTCTCCTCTCTGACTCAACACCAACAGCAGGGGGCCAAATGAAGAGCGTGGCCTACAGCAACTCCCTGAAATTAATAGCCATGGGTATTCTATATCCCCAGACTTAAAATCTACGGGTTTATTTCGTTTAGAAAATGCAAACCCTCTCTATGTGAAGGAGACCTGCTATTTGGGGTCTCAGAATCTCCTACGATACCTGTTAAGATAAGGAATCTCTTACGATATCTTGAGCTGATCTTTCTTTTTTTTTTTTAATTCTTAAAGTTTTAGTGTGTTAACAGTGATGCTGCAAAAGAGTTGGTGCAGGAATGAAAGGGAATCCGTGGGTAGTCGCGCCCTTAGAGAGCTACAGCCTAGATCACAAAGAGCCTTGGCCAAAAATCCATTTGAGGAACTCCGAGTGCCTCACTTTTCTGTGCACATGGGGCCTTATTAAATGTTCATGGCTGCTGAAACAGCAAAGCTCATTGTATCCAATTATCCCTGATCTGCTTTGCCCTTCTTTATTCGCGAGATTGTACTGCATTCCCGTTCCCCTGGCTTGCCCCCCCACCACTGATATTCTCAAAGCTCGGCCTTTCCTTTCCATTCTGTCATGTGTGAACAGTTCGGATTAGTCTGAAAACACTCTGGCAGGAAGTGTAAATCGCCACTTCTCAGGGAAAATTCTCCCCTTCTCCATTGTGCCATACGCACAGATGGGAGAGTCCAGAGACGGACCCGCTGAGCTGCTGTTGGGTGTGCGGGAGGGGCAGGCCGGTGCTTTAGGAAAAGAGAGAGAGGAGCTATCAAACCCAAATGGGGAGGGGCGTAGCAGAGCCTTGGTTCCTTCCCTGAAGGGCCTAATGGACCTGGAGGTGCCAGGAAGCTGAGACAAAAGCTCCTGACTAACAAGTGAAGAATCATTGCAGCTGCTGAACAGAAATCTTGTCTCCATTAGCTCCCTTGCTCCGTGGAGCTGCGACATTGGCACTTCGACTTCACGGCCATCTTTACAGAGTCAGAGTGTGTCAGTAGGCAGGTGCTACATGGGCAAGTTTTACTTGCCAGAGGGAGTGGTATCTATGACAGTGACAGGTGAATTTGGATGGCCCTCTGTTTAGCCCTCTAGTTAGTGCATTGCTAGATGTCTCTAAGTGCCCCTCTGGCCCAGGCAAGCAGAATTCTGGGAGCTGTAGGTGACCCTTCTCTGTCTGTGATCATCTCCAGGCACATCCTCATGTCCTCAGTTTGCTTTTACACCGTCCTTTCTCAAGGCAGACTCCTTCAGTAAGGGTTCACCACTCTGTGGGTAAACTGCAACCTCTACCTCAGGGCATGGGGAGAGAACTGTACAGGGACAAGTTGGGGGGCAACAAGTGGGCGCATATTTGGACTTGTTCTTTACTACCCCGACTTCTGGCTTCCCACTCCAGCACCTGAGTTGTTTGCATTCTACTGAGATGAATGAAATGGCTTCTGAGCTACCAAAGTGCTTACCAGCAAAGGAGATAGCATGATGCCAACTCCTGGATCTTCATGTTATAGCTAAGAAAATAATTTTATCCTGGATCATTGCAGGCAAAACTGCAGAAGCTGTACATGTTAATCTCGTGCATTTCCTCTGGCATTTGCCTTACAACCACCACTTCACTCCAATGTGATTGTTTTGACAGCAAAATTTTTGGGATGGAGCAAAGTGTCAGTAGGAAAGAAGCGTCCTTCTGATGTGCTAAATTATTCATTGGCAAGGAGAAAAATAATGCTAGCTAGTGGCAGGATGTAAAAGTGGCATTTACACTGCATTGCTCAAAGCAAACCTGTTGCTCCTTAGAAATGAGCATGGTAAAGAAAATTCAGGAATTGTTTCAGGTCTCTCTGCTATGTAACTATCAGAGCTAACCTGCTATAAGCATAAACCCATCCAGCAAAAGTCTCCCTCTCTCTTCCTCCCCTTCCTCTTTCTCATTTGCTCTCTCCTGTTTAACCTCTTCATTGGCACCATCTTGGCTTTTTCAAAGTAGTGTTTTTGGACATGAATTAATGAAGCAATAGCATCCTCTGGAAAGGGCATTATCAAGAATTATGGACCAGTTTGGCCATGTAATGGCCCTGAACTAACGCCAAATTGCCAAACCAGGTTTTAAACTCATAATCCAGATAATGACCTGTCTAGAGGATTTTGTGGCTCTTATATACGTGTGATGAGCCAAGAGTTGCTTTTTACTGGGGCATAAAATTCTCTGAATGTTTTATTTAACTTTACTGCACTGTGCTGTATGTGTCCAGTCATGCATCTCTGCTTTCCCTCTCCAGTTTGCCTTTCTCCTGTGAATGCCATTGTTCTTTGTGATGAAGTTGGTCTGCAGAGAGGCTTCGGGTTTATAATTGCTAAAGGGGCGCAGGGTGGCGCTTTCATTTCAGCAAATTCTTTTTCTAGCCAGACCTCTGCTCTCAGTGACCCTTGTGAGTTAAGCCGTTGTCCATATATCTTTTTTGTTTCATGGTGTTCTTTTTCTATTTCCCCTTTGGCTGGGTGGGGGCACGTGAATTCCAAATCTAATGTTGTAGCGCTGAAGTCTTAGGGATTCACATCAAAATGCCAGCCTGTTCCTAACCAATCAGAACCAGGTTTTTAAAACCACAAAACATGGGTCATTTGCACACATAACTTCCGCCGGAAATTGAGGCCCCTGGGTGTGCAAATTTTGTACACGTGCGCTTTCAAAAATCTCGTTCCCGGTGCATGAGCTGTTGTGCTGCAGAAAGACAAAGATAAATTTACAACAGAATGGTGATGGGATTGCAGAGTAGTCCAGGAAAATCAATAGCAATTTGGCACGTGTAGCAAAATATTGCCTCTTCATAGAAGAGGATGAAAGTCAGTGTTCGATGTCAGTGTGTTACTATAGCACATGTTATGGTGTCAGTAACAAAGGATCAAAGGTCTCCTAGGTAAGAACTCAGAAGAGCAGCAAAAAAATTGTTGCATTCAGTTCTATTTACGTTGCAGTACTTTAGGATAACACCTCTGGTGCACGGTACAGAGGGGAGAAAGCTCAGGCAACGGAGATAAACACACAGGGACTGGGGGATATGCCACAAGCTCCTTATGGATGGTGTAACTGCTGTGTTGATCTGAATTGCCAGCATCCAGGAGGATTCCTGGCCAAATCAGATTCCAGTTACTATGCAGTCCCTTGTCACTCTCTCTAAAGTAACTAAAGCACATTCTAGCCCTTTACTTACCATAAATGTAGGGAGACTGGATTCTGACCTCATGCCAGCTTTATTCTAGTTTAATTACGTTGACTTCAGTAGAGTTGCATCAGATTTGGATTCACGGAAGTAAGAGCAGAATTGGGCCAACTGCACAGAAGAGATGGATCTCTCCTTCCAACTGTATATAAGTCACATGGAACGATCAGCCAGTTCAGTGCATAGGGATGTGACCCACTTGGCTTCCCGAACAGTCAGCCATCCCCATAACAGATGGGCTAGCAAAGTTAACTTAGGCCCTGTCTATGCTGGGATTTTTGCACCAGGATAGTTATTGCAATCTGAACACGTTGGTGCAACCCCCCCCCCCGTGGAGATGCATTGTGCAGGGCTTGCATGGCTAAGGTTTACCCTGTTAATTTACCAGGACAAGTCACACTAGTGCAGCTCATCTGCATTAGGACTTTGCACTGGTGTAAGTACACCGATATCGTTACACTGGTGTTATTTGCCCTTGTCTAGACGAGCCTTCAGGTGGCCATGTCACTGATGGGAGAGGGCCTCTTTACATTCATTATTGCCTGCCAGCCGTATAGTCACCTGCAGTCATATCATTAACGTTCCTATGTTCACTGAGCGCTGAGTTTTTGTGTCCGCTGCCCTCCATGCAGTTATTTTAGAAGGCAATGCTTTCGACTCCTATGCAGAGAAAGAGATCAATGTCAGAAAGAATAGACTGGGGTCCCCACGTATCCTTGTATCTGTGGAGGCACTGAACTAGAACACGTGCTAGTGTGGAGCCCTAAAGAAACCTCAGCTTAAAAGCGGAGGAATTTCTATTTGAACCTTGGAGGTTTTATTTTATTGTATTGTATTTTATTTTTGTGCTCCTTTTTCTTATACGCATGTGACCTGCAAGCCTAGCAGCCTTGCAAAGACAGACAAGCAATGAATCATTTATGATCGGTTTTGCTCTCTATTCATTAAGGGATTCCTTGTTATTATTCTGTGCCTTAATTGTGCTGACATCCCTGCCATCAGAAAGTCCGGGAGGGGTGAGCGCAAAAACATCTGTGACTGGAAAACAAAGCCTCTTTTGACGTCCTGTGCTTGCAGGAAAGATCAAAGGGAATGCCGTCGCTTTTTCCTCCTTCTGATCGCATATTGATAAACTTTATCTTGTCTGACTGCAGCTTTCAGTTCTGTGCAAATCCTTCTAAACTAGATGGCATCTGTTAGCCCTGTTAGCCCTTGAGGTTGGTTCCATAATCACCAGTGTCTCTGCCACCTTCCCTTTGATACCTACCTTGCTATGAGAGTAGGCACGCATCCTGGTACACTCCCTGCCGTCTTTCAAGGCGCCAGAATGAGGCAGTTGAACCCGCAGCAGGGAAGTGTGCCTCCGTGTAATGCACTCTGAGGTAATTATAACAGCCAGGGGTATATTGGGAAGTAGTTGTAACTTTAATACGGCAATATTTTATCATGATGTGGGTACACAGAGCCTTTCTTTCTTCTTTTCACAAGGGTCCGACTTGGTGGTAATTTTCTTGCAGCCACATTTGTTTGAGATGTTAAAGGACAGGAAGCAAAGAACAAGGAGGAGGAGAAGCTATGCTGCCGGTAGAATGCATTGGAGCTGGAAAAGCCTTTCCAAACCAGCTCAGCAAGTGACTTATTAGTGGCTAATTAATTGACCGCTGGAGGGTGCACACTTGCTAGTTGGCAAACCCCTCCTTGTAAAGTGCCTGTTGTTTTGGAAAGTGGGCCTTGTTCTCCCTTAACCCCCCTGCCCTGTGCTGCCTTCCAGAATCTCACTGCCTGCTCATGCCTCAGTTTGGTCCCTGCCGAGAACGCTACAGTAATGCACGGAAAATGCCCCAGTCCTGGTTGCCAAGAGGCCTTCTTGACATTCCTCTGCGTGATGTGTGTTTGCAGCATGATTGGAGCCATGGCGCAGACGCCGTCAGTTATCATACTCATCAGGTAAGAGCCGTGCTGAGGATCTGATGAGTTGCTTGGCTCTCGATCCATCGCTTCTTTCAACAGGCTGCCGCAGATTAATTGAAAACTGAAGGGCTCCTCCCCTGGGTCTAGATCGAGGGGGACCGTTGTTGCCCACGGCCCATGGGCACGTGGGGAGGATGGACTCCTGGCGCTGAGTGCTTCTGACTACCATTGGAGTTGACAGGAGCCGCAGACGCTCAGCAAATCTTGGGATTTGACCTGCTTTGAGTGGGAGGGCACTACAAAATGACCCACCCTTATACTTTCAGCTGCACTGAATTCAGCCTGAGAGTTCCCTTTGGCTTCAATGGGGGCTCAGGCCCTCTGAAAACCAGGCCCCTTATTATGTGCGCATCTCCCATTTAGGCCCCTGAAGGAAGCAGCCAGAGTTTCAGAACTCCGCATCCCAAGCGCAGTGGCAGCTGCTGGATGCTGTGCATGCATCAGTCTCTTTGTCTCTGCAGGTCTCTGTTAGGCTCAGCACAACCACATTCATTGCTGGGGTAGCTCCACTTACTTCAGTGTCTAATACCGACCTGGGGAAAGAATAAGGGAATTGATTCTGTGCAGCTCAAGGGGCAAGGAGGGCTGTGAATCTGGTAAGGAGGGGTCTATGCAGGTATGCTGCAAAGGAAAAGGTCAGACCTTGTTCTCCTCATCCGTCTAGAAACCGTGAAGTGGAAAGGAAATCAGGAAAGTTCTGCTTCTGTTAAGGCTAAAATCAGTCAGGTGGCAGGATCGCAACTGTGTGACACCTGCAAGCAGTGGTTTCATGAGGCTTTTTTAGAGATAGCCTAGAGATCCTAGGAGGCTGCAAAAACAAACCAAAAAAGGCCTATGGATGGATTTATGAGCTGGTGTAGGACAATGTGCATGCATCACCCGAAGCGAAAACTCTCATGCTGGCCCAAATGCTGACATCAGTGGGAATTAGAGATGCTCAGTATCTCTGGATTTGGCCAAACATGCACACAAAGACAAAATCATCATCTCCAACTGAATTACTGTGTGCTATTTCCCCACACAGACCTTCCAGGCAGCTACACACACACACACATCTATCTGCCCCCTGAGATGCGTACCTAACTTCGCCTTTATTCAGAATCACTGCATCCGTCCAGGCCATTGCTTACAGCCTATTCTAATCAGAGGTGCAATAAGCAGATCCATTCTGCGGCCTGGAAAATGCCAATAAAGTTCAATCAATGGGGTCTGTGTTAGAAACACTTTTCAGTGGATCTCAGGCAGATCTCTTATGCGAGGGCATGTCTCCCTGCAGAGTATAGAATGAGATATTCCACCTACTAGTTCATTTCTCTCCTGGCATCTACAGTAGCTAAACGGAAATCGAATTTTCAGCCATCAATATTGTAGCAAAGGTAATTTGAGGCTTGAAGGGTTCTTTGTTGAGAGAAATTATCAGCACTTGTAGGATCCTGAATAGAGTCTTCTTGATGTGCATTTTCAAATTAGACAAGCCAATGGCCAGGTAGGAAAGAGAACACAAGAGGAACGAGGAAATGTTAGAAAACTTCAGTTCACAACCCTTTGAAATTGACAATTCACAGCACTGAAAGTCAAATCTTAACTATATTCCCACCAGAACCACCAATATCTATCATAAAGGCACAGAAGAAGAGGCAGTGAAGGGCCAAGCATCACCTGGTGTTCTGGACACTCCACAGGTTTGAATCAACTGATTCCACAAACCACTCTCACTTCGTATGAGGGGCCCAGATGTTACTGGTGATGAGTTTGAATTGGGATTCCCAGCTCTCCCAAATCAGCCAAAATGAAGCCCACCCCTGGCTGACCTGGTTGTAATTGTGCCGAACGCAGCTGAGCAGCGAAGTGTCTTCTCCTGGCCCAGCCAGCAGGAGCATATTCAGAGGAATCACCAGGATATCTGGCTCTTTCCACACCCTGGAGTCTAGTTTAAATGTCCACACTGTAATCTCAGGCACTGAAGTTTTCAACACAGCCTGGAACCAGATAACTAACGAGACAATGGGAGATAACTTCATGTCATTCCGGGATGTCCTAACAGTGCTGTGATCAGAGATAGAAAGGACGTTTTTGGGACTCTCTGGTATTATTATTGTTGTTATTTATCCATCACCCAAAGGTGTGGTAGGTGCTACACAGACATAAATTAAGACAGGTCACACCCTGAAGAGTTTACACCCTTAGAGCTCAATCCAGTACCTATTAGATTCAATGGAAAAATTCACACTAACTTCAGTGGGAGTTAGATAAGATCCTAAATATACAAAAACAGATGGAAGAAAAGGAGGAACATTAATGCTGGTTGATAAGTATGTTTCACACACAAAAAATCAGAAAAAAATTCCCTCTTCAAATTTTTCAATTAAAAATCGAAAATTGACAATTTTTCATTTTTTTACTGAAAAAATGTCAAACAAAAAATTAAAAATCGATTTTTTATTTTAAAAGTTTCAACTGAAAAACTCTAGACACTTCTAAAACAACCCCAAAAAAACAAAACACAACAACCTATGTAAGAAAACTGACTGAGGTTATGTTTGGTAACCCTCTATTCTTCACTTTTTCCCTCCCTTTCGCAGGACCTCCTTTGAGCCAGGCCATTAACCACTGGAACGCCTTTGCAAGCGTTGAGGTGGATTTTTCATCACTTGAAGTCTTTTTAAGTCAAGACTGGATGTCTTTCAAAATGCTATTCCCCTCCATTGCACATGTACAGCGGGCACCCATTTCAAGCACAGGTGTCACTAACAGAGACCATGCAGGGGATTAATAGATGCAGGGACCTGACACTTTTAAGTTTCCTTTCAACACAGACCCCTTTCATCAGGGGTTCATTGCCCTGCTTCGCTGAACCGTTATGCACTGTGGAACATAAAGTGCTGAATAAGAGAATGCATGTTCATAATCAAATTAATCCCTGGTAAAATTCCAATGACTTCAGTGGGTTTATACCGGTGGCATGACTTTAGCCTATAGCAGGGGTAGGCAACCTATGGCACGCGTGCCAAAGGCGGCACGCGAGCTGATTTTCAGTGGCACTCACACAGCCTGGGTCCTGGCCACCGGTCCGGGGGGCTCTGCATTTTAATTTAATTTTAAATGAAGCTTCTTAAACATTTTAAAAACCTTATTTACTTTACATACAACAATAGTTTAGTTATATATTATAGACTTATAGAAAGAGACCTTCTAAAAATGTTAAAATGTATTACTGGCATGCGAAACCTTAACTTAGAGTGAATAAATGAAGACTCGGCACACCACTTCTGAAAGGTTGCCGACCCCTGGCCTATAGCATCATACGAATTATGTGAATAGGAAGTTAATTCTTGTTCTTAAGGTGTCTTCAAAGATTAATGCCAGCCAGATAGAGTGGGTTACATTCAAAGTGAAGGGCCATGATTAGCCTGGCCTATTATCTTCCCAATTTAAAACTAATCAGAAACTAATCTCACTTTCACAAACATCACCCTGTATGGGCAGGTCGGTGTATCAACCTTTGCTGATCTGGCTGATTTAATAGCTAGACCTGGGAATGACAAGTTGGTCATTTGTCCTCTCTGCTATTTCACTCACATTTCCCCCACCCCATCTCACACACAATTAAGTTATAATAAAAAGGATTTTGTTGGTTTGTATCCTGCTGATTCAAAGCATCTGAGGCCTGAAAGGTAATACAGGGATTCTATAAATGATAATTTACTGGGATGGGATTTGCATTTTTTCCCCCTTCCAATGACAAGATTAGTTCACATTATTAACAACGCAGCTAAATTCCAGAACCCATCATGTGGCTGCAGTTGCAATTATTTTTCAGGCTTCAGGCAGTTGGACCAAGGGGGAAGAAAAAGAAAAGAAGCCCGTTAATGATTTTCTGAAGGGGTGACAGTGGCGTCCTGATTGACAGCAAAGCACAGCGATGGGGTTTGTTAATTAAAGCAGTATGATGACAATCAATTTCTCTCTCTCTCTCTCCCTTTCTCCTCTGTACAGAACAGTGAGCCCTGAACTTAAGTCTTATGCTTTGGGGGTGCTTTTCCTGCTGCTCCGTTTGCTAGGTACGTGCAGTGATTTTTTCTTTCTTCCCCCGCACCCTAAAAATGAACGGAATGTTTATATGTGCATCAAGGTGTGAGTGTCCATTGATTCCCCCCTTTGGATGTTGAATGCCTGTTCAATGCCGTCATTTATCAGTGGGGTCTGAACCCAGGAGATCCAAGCCCTTTCTCTGCAGTGCGGATGGAAAGGCCTCCAAGGGTCATGGCACATGCCTCTCCTGCCATTTCAGTCACGCTCATGTTGGAAATCGTGGTGTTGAGTGAGAAACCCTCCCTCCCAACTAGTTAATTCTCCACAGTCATTATTAACATGTCAGCAGCTTGTGAAATTACTTCTTTATTGTGCTGCTGACTTACAGGGATAAACAATTTCACACCACTTTGAGGATAGGAGCTTTGTTACTCCATTGGGTGGTAGCTGAGTCCTCCTGGTCTCTGGGGGAGGAAAACAAAAGGAAAAAAACCAGGCTGAACCTTAATGCTGTCTCCTGGCTTAATCTCCCATTAAAATACATTTGGTCAAACGGTTGGCTCAATGTATGTCTCTTCATGCCTGAATAAAAGAGAAAACGTTATCTGTAATTGTTTTTTCCCTTGTAACGGGATGACTGTAGGGGAGCGGGCTTAAAGGCACAGCCCCTGTTTCTCAGAACTTTGGACCAAATTCTGTCTGATCCATTGCTCTGGGTTCGGTCTCACTGATGTGTTCTGTTGGTATTCTACTCGTGGGTTTCTGCTGATTCAGTGGGACAGATTTCACTCTCACCCAGTAGGAGCTGAATAGTCCCTTATTCTATGAGTGCTCCCAGTGATTTCACTGAGCAAGGTACAAATCAATGAGAGTCAGAATCTGGCTCAATGTTAGTTTTTTTCAGTGTTGATCCATCCACTGTGTGGTTGTAGTAGAAGGATTTTACCCCATACTATGACAGTGTGGTATAGACGCAAGTGCCACTATTCCAATGAAGCCCTTTAGGATTTGGCTACTCGTTTCTTCTCTACTAGGTGATTATTTACTTGTGCAGTTCATTGGCCTTCACGAGGGCAGCCTGTTTTCTTTCATAGAGAGGGGTTGAAAACCCTACAGTCCCATGTATCCCACTGAATGGTCTCTGAGTGCAAGGTCCTTATTTTGCATCAGAATTCTGGTGCCAAGTTTTTCTCCAGGAGCCAGTGAAATGCATGAGCATAAAGGCCCAATCCAGCTTCCACTGACGTCAATGGGAATCTTTCAGCATTGGTCAAAGGTCTGAAATGCACTCCCTCATCAAAAGCTAAATGCTTTGCTCAGAAAAGAAGAAAACACCACAAGCCTTTGGTGGCTGATCCAAATCCCACGGAAATCACTGGGAGTCTTCTGGTTGACTTGCTTGGACTTTGGATCAGGCCCTTAACACACGGTGTTTCCTTTTGCTGTCCATACTGCTTTAGGTTCTTCTCCTGTTCTCAGCTCTTGCAGGTTGAATGCAGAACCTGGCAGTTAAGCAAGGGAGGGAAGATGTTTTTTGATTTTGCATTCCAAATGTAAATGTATTTGCGATGGTAGTTACTAATTTTGTATTATTGTAGCTTATTATTGTTGTAGTTTGAGAAGTCTGTATGTATAATTCTGTGAGGGCTAGGTTCTGCTACCAGTACTTGGGATAAGATAGAATCATTGAATATCAGGGTTGGAAGGGACCTCAGGAGGTCATCTAGTCCAACCCCCTGCTCAAAGCAGGACCAATCCCCAGACAGATTTTTGCCCCAGCTCCCTAAATGGCCCTCTCAAGAATTGAGCTCACAACCCTGAGTTTAGCAGGCCAGTGCTCAAACCACTGAGCTATCCCTCCACCCTTACGCCTACATTAGTTGCATCTTACTCTTCCATTAGTCCCCTTGACACTGCAGTAACTCTTTTTTGTAGCAAAACACATGCTGCCCTATCACAGCAGAATCCCTGTGGAATACGATAATACATCCAGGAGGATATCAGCTATGGGACTACACAAAGGATAAGGTACTACTCAGTGTGAGTGAAGATATCCAAAACTCGCCCTTAATAATTTGAGGTTTGAGGCTAGATTGATTTTTAAAAGCTTTTTCAGTTCACCTTTAAGCTTAGACTTAAAAAGCGACCAATATAGCTTCTTCTTGAACCAAAGGAGAGTATTAAATATCTGAGGTACGAGACCCGGAGGTGCAATCTGAGTTAATAGATTTTAGTAAGACAGAGGATGCTTCTTTAAACAGCTCTGCAGTTTCTGAACTAAAATATATATAGCAGCAATTTGTGCAACACTTTGTAATAAGAAGTAAAGCATGATTGAATCTCTTTAATATTCACTGTAATAACATGAAACATGACTGAATTCTCCTGATATCCTGCTGGATGTATTATCTTATTCCATAGGAATTCTGGTATGATAGAGCAGCATATTAATGTCTTGGAATAAAAGTGTTACCTTGGTTTCTTAGAAAAGAAACTAAAACAGTTCTGGTGGAGCCCCAATGGTATTGAAAGCTGCAGCTACTATATAAGAGGCTCTGATATGGAGATTCTTTTCCAAATACCATCTCACTTCTTCATATATGCTGTCATTGAAAGGACCTGAATCAAAAGTGCATATCTAAATACCCCAGTAGCAGGGGAAGTTCAGATCTGGATTGGAATTTTGCATCTAATCAGGCTTATCTAAAGGTGAAAAAACATTTGCAAATGGCACAAGTCAAACACGTCTGGTAATTCCATCCTGATTGCATTGGCAACTGTCAGCATTAACTATGCACGTCTGAAATGGCAAATAGATTTATGCATGACAATACGATCCTGGACATTTCCCTTCCCAGATGGTGTTTGCAGTTTGTCCCCAAAACATGCAGCTCAAGTGCAATATCTGGCTACCAATGGAGTTTCTGATATTTTTGTTTTAAATCCAGCCTCCTAGCGTCACTCAGGGTGACACACTGAAAGTGCAAGGCGTGCCCATCGAGCCGGGCTTTGGAGGCCACAAAGCCTGCAGCCATAGACCTCCCTTAATTCCAAAGCACTCTAAACTTCAAGTCTAGTCTCATTTGTTGGAAGTCTCTAGCTCAGGGGTCAGCAACGTTCGGCACGCGGCTCGCCAGGGTAAGCACCCTGGCGGGCCGGGCCAGTTTTATTTACCTGCTGACGCGGCAGGTTCGGCCGATCACGGCCCCCACTGGCCGCGGTTCACCGTCCCGGGCCAATG